GCTGAATGGGCTGCCTGCTCTGCAGTTTCCTGTGAGGTTTCCAAGAGTTCTGAGAGCCAGCAACCAAGGTCATGAGTTTGGAAGGCCCCTCTACCCAAGACTCCCCCACCTAGCACTTACCTGCTGTTGGCCTTTGATTCCAGGCCCTCTTCTCCCTCAAAAGGGCCTGCCTTTGCCCCTGAGTTGAGAGCCCCCTTTTACAGGTTGCCACTTATACAATGAGTATAAAGAATAAAATTCTTTAAAGAATAAAATTAAAATACTGGCTTTATTCTTTTAGTGTATTTTGGTTTTTGATTGAGGTGAAAGGGTCTGTGGTTTGTCCCTCTCCACTTAAATTTTGGGATTTGGGGGATAACTTGTAATCTGAATTTGTTGTTAAGTGTTGTACACACATGTTTGGTTTGGTTTTTGCTATTTAATTCTTCTCTTTTTATATGGGTGTTTGGTCAGATTGAAAAACTATGTAGCGCCCGGCCGGGCATGGCTCAGTGGTTAAGTGTTGACCTAGGATGCAGGCGATCAGGGTTCGATTCCCTGTCAGGGCACATGCCCGGGTTGTGGGCTACAGCCGATCAATGACTCTCTCATCATTGATGTTTCTATCTCTCTCTCTCCCTCTCCTTTCCTCTCTCTGAAATCAATAAAGATATATTTAAAAAAAAGAAAAGAAAAGAAAAACTGTGCAGCCACCACTGCCCACTGCCAACATCTTCCCAGAATCTCCATCACTTAGTATCCTTACTCCTTGACATGGTGCTACTTCTGCTTAAACCTTTCCCCAATGCCTGATGATAAACAGTGTCCATAGTCAGGCCCTTGGTAGCTCTCAAAAAACCACTATCATGGAGACAAAATTAAACTCATGAAAGAGACCAATAATGGATTGAGTCTTTCATTAAAAATGTTGGAACTAAAGGAAATATTTTTGCGAATATATATTTTATTACTATCTTTTTTTAATATTTACCTGAATATTTTTCCCCCAGTGCTTTTCAGAGAGAGAGTGGAAGAGGAGAGAGAGAGATGTGAGAGAGAGACATCAATTGGTTTCCTCCCAAATGTGCAACCAAGGTACGTGCCTTAGGCCAGAATCCAACCTGGGACACTTAGGTCCACCTGTCGATGCCCTAACCACTGACCCAAACCGACCAGGGCAAGGGAACAAATGTTTTAAAAGCTAGTACTTACTTATCCTTGGATAATTCCACAGATATCCAAAGACTAGAAAAAGAAAGTAGATCTTTTTTACACCAGCAAGTCTCCCAACCTCAGGTTCAGAGGGCCTATATTTATTCCCAGTTTACAGATGTAGAAATAGAGGCTCAGAGCACCTCTGTGACTTGAGATCTCATTTATAGTAGGGCTTGGCCTATTTTATCATTAGGTATATGTAGTTGAGTGTTTAGTGTATATATATGTGTGGATGTTGACATATTTGGAAAGAATTGGGTGGACATTCACCATTCTCTTAATTGGATATATATCCAGTTCTTACAGTAACTGACCGTGTGTTCTTATCTTCTACATTCTACATTTTCCCCCTTAACCATATGAATATTTCTGTGTGGGACTCAACTCAGCTGCTTTGAGAATGTTAAGGTGTGGAACATAGTAGGAGACCATGTTAAAATGAATGGAATACACACACACACACACACACACACACACACACACACACACACACACTAAAGACCTCCCTCTCCCTCCTTTCCCATATTTCTCACAAATCTTTATCCAAAAGGTTAGTTTTTTTGGTGACTTTCTCTTACACATTTCCTTTTGTAGGCAGTCCCATATAGTCTCACGTTTTCCAATATCATTTTGGGCCTTCCATTAAAAATGTTTGAATCCAATGAAATATTTCTGGGAACAATTATGTTAAAAGCCAGTACTGCCCGGCTGGGCATGGCTCAGTGGTTGAGCGTCGACCTGGGATCCAGGAGATCAGGGTTCGATTCCCTGTCAGTGCACATGCCTGGTTGTGGGCTTGATCAATGACTCTCTCATCATTGATGTTTCTGTCTCTCTCTCTCTCTCCCTCTCCTTTCCTCTCTCTGAAATCAATAAAGATATATTTAAAAAAAAAAAAAAGCCAGTACTTACTTATCCTTGGATAATTTCACAGATATCCAAAGACCAGAACAAGATAGTAGATCTTTTTTTACCACAGCAAGTCTCCCAACCTCAGTTCAGAGGGCCTATATTTATTCCCAGTTTACAGATGTGGAAATAGAGGCTCAGAGCACCTTTGTGAATTGAGATCTCATTGCCACTAGTGCTTGGCACTGGACTCAGAATTCTGGTTTTCCTTTAGAATCACTGTGTTCCTGGACAAGCTAGAGAACCTGGGATCCGCGATCTACACATTTGTCACTTAGGCACAATACGAGTGAATGCCATTTATATGCATATATACACAACCCAAGGACATGGACAATGGTGGGGAGAGGGACTGGGGAGGGGGAAGGAA